GCTGGGCCAGCCCTGCCACTTTAAATGCAGCATGCAGCCTGGGGACATCCCAGCTGGCCCTGGTGCTGCACGCTGCATTTCAAAGCGGCACCATGTGGAGCCCTGGGCTCCACACTGCGCTGCCTCTTTCAAGTATCCTCTCCTCTTTCTCTCCCCACCTTGCTGCCTCTTTCTGAGGAGTAACGGTAGTTCGAATTAGGATCTTTAATTCAAACTACCTACTCCGTGCTGCGTGTAGCCACGGGCACGGAGTTTGGACTAAGGGGGATTTAAAAATGGTGGCGCCTGGGAACATGCAAATGAAGCCCAGGATATTTAAATCCCGGGCTTCATTTGCAACTCCGCCTGCCCTATTTACCCTACCTAGCTCGAACTAACGAGCTAGTGTAGACATACCCTGGGAGAGGGGATTCTTTCTTGCTGGGTGTTGATGAGCCATTAAGGCTGTCAGGCTATGGAAGGCTACTCCATTGTTGTAACTGAAAGGTTGTAATGGATTATCCCAGCCTCACAACATATTTCAGTAACACACACACAGCAACACTTCATACCTCCACAATCAACAATAGCACATACAATCCAATAGGATATTACAATGTTCAACAGATCCAGACTTTTTAAATGATACCTCAGTAAGCTTATTTTGTACAAAACATCAGAATTGTATCACCATGGTGAATATGGAGATTCCAGGGTGCCACCTTGAGGTACAGAGTGTCGCATGCTGCCCCAGTATTTCCCAGTTATGGAGTATATGATAGAAACATTCTGCCACATGTATAGTCACTGAAATACCCCATGTTCTAGTCCAAGCTCAGCCATTTTGTACATTCAGTCATGCCTTACTCCAGTGGTCACCAACTAGGCCATCAGGATCTACCAGTAGATCTTAGAGCCTCTGACAGGAGATCCTGACTGATTTGGCCAAGAGGCTATCAAGTGCCAGTACTTCAGCTGCTCCTCTATCTACTGCTGCACAGCTCCTGCCCTTTGCCCTGGAGCTGCCCCTCGTTCTGGGAGCCTCCTGCTTTCTGGGCAGGGGGGAGAGAAAGGGTGCTGATGTCAGAGTGCCCCTCTCCCACTCTCTATCCTATCTCCAGAGAGCAGAGAGGGGGCACAATAGGACTTGGGATGGAGGGAGTTTGCTGGCTGCTTTAGGGAGTGGTGCAGGGCCAAGGCAGGGGTGAGCCTGCCTTAGCCCCTCTGCACCACCACCCAGGAGCCCAGCTGGGGCCCACATCCAAACTCTTACCCCAGTCATGAACCCCCTCCTGCACCGCAAGCCTTTGTCCTAGCCCGAGCACTCCTGCATCCAAACGCCCTTCCAGAGCCTGCACCTAGAACCCCCTCCTATGTCCCTACTGCCTGCCCCAAGCTCAGCTCAGGTCCTCTCTCATACTCCAGATCCCTTAATCCAAGACCACAGCCTGCACCCCAACCCTCTGCCCCAGCCTGATGAAAGTGAGTGAGATTGGGCAAGAGAGGGAGGATGGAGTGAGCAGGGGCGGGGCCTCGGAGAAGGGGTGGGAAGGAGGCGGGGCAAGAGTATTTATATTTGAGGTAGATCTTGGATTTCACTTAAATTCAAAAAGTGATCTTGTTCTCAAAAAGGTGGGAGACCACTGCCTTATTCTGTGACTGCTGCCACTGATTGGAATGGCAGAATGAGGCCTCAATTGACAACATGCCTGCCTCTGGAATAAATTATATTATAGGTAACAACATGGGAAATAGCCTTTTAAACCTTCTGCCTCTTAAAGTATTAATTTCATTATAGGGATTAATCTTCCTTTACTTGAGAAGTTAATCAGTTCTCACAAATGACACAAGGGAGAGGTTTCAGAATGATAAGTGCCTACTATTCAGCCATTTTGAGTAGGCTATCATAGATTCTAGGTAAAAGGACAATACAGTTTGGATAGGGAGTTTTAGCTGCAAAAGAGTATAATAACAGCTACAATAACTGTTCCAAAGAATGCATTATAAACAATAAGTTGTTATTAAGTGTACATTTGCAGGTACAGGTAAATACCAATATTTTCATAAGAGTTTGTTGAGCATGTGATGCAGTTACAAACAAGGGATTTTACGTGCACAGCTATGCATCTATCAGATCTTTTAGTGAAACTATTGTTCACTACACTTAAAAAATCCACAAAAATCTGAACCAAATAAACGTGTGTTCACATTTGCTGACTGATCAGTGCTCTCTTGCTAATCAATATACATGTATACTCCTATTTGTAGCCTCATTTGCACTATTTAAGCAGCATCTAAAAGATTTCTCTTCCTGTCATTCAGATAAATAATGGCCTTTGAAACAAAAAAGATGTTTTGTAGCAGATGAAAGTCTAGTTTTTACTGATGTTGAGGCCAAAATATTAACTTAAAAATAAGTTTTCCATCTCCAGATCCCCTTTGAACTCCACACTGATGCTGAGAATTACATATTAATCTGAAATATTTTCCTAGTTGAACCACATAGCTCACTGAAGTTACGGGAGTGTTTAACTTGAGTGAAATAGGCCTTAATTCAGGCCCTATAACATAACAGAGTTGCATGTATGCCCTATGAACTGAGGAAAAATGTTCCCATCCACCCTATTTTTATGACTGACGGGGAAAGCATGCAATCACTGAGTACATTTATATAAATATGGAAGACTTTTTATGTTTATTTGGCTGATTTTGGCTCCCCTTCTCAGTCAGGTGAAATTCACTCTTAGGAAGAGAGAGCCTATGTTCCAGTTAAATTCTACTTTAGCCTACTTTGAAAACTTAAATTGGGTCAGGATTCTATTATGTAGAGGTGAGTTCTTCCTATTGAATAGTAATCTATTTCAGAAGAAACCTCTCTGACTGACAGAGGTAGAACTGGGATTATTGGTTCATATAGTTCTTGGAAAGATTTATATTAGTCTTAGCCCATCCCCTCCCATAACAGCCAAACTCTGGCCCTGAGCTGGACAAATAGAATAGATGATATATAATATATGTTAGAGAACAATATATGTCAGGTGATATTTTTAAAAATAAATAATATTTTAAAATTCCATTAATTTACAAGTGCACACACATTAATTTAGTTACCCAGTTAAGCATGGACATCTGCTTAAGTGTCAGTGTGCTTATTGGCTGTGCTCATAGGTATACTAATCACTTAATTGCTAGGTTCTTATCTTTTTCTCAGAAGTATTTCTATAGCACCTATCACCAGTAAGGAAGCACTGGAGATATGAACTATTCATATGCTTGTCCATAGTGTACCCAGGTCTTGAAATACCTCTTTTCAAGGATGCAGCTGATCCTCTGCTCTCAGACTCTCCCACATAAAAACAATTAAAGCTTTACACAAGGCTATTGTAAGCTCACCTAATTGTAATAGCCAGATCTGTGTGTGCAGCTCAGGTTTTGAAAATGTAGTCTGCATAATCTAGCCATGTCTACAAGAGAAAATATGCTAACATCATGTTATCACCTACTATCGTTTTTAATTCCAGCTTTTTTTTCATTTACTCTGTAACAGACTTTGTCACTAAACTTTGAATATCCTCTTCCCTCTAGGTGATTTGCATGGAAAACTAGATGATCTTTTGCTGATCTTCTACAAGGTAATTACATGCTTCATTCCTGAGCATTTTCACCCTTTAGAACTAGCACTAGTAAAGCACCTGTATACCTCATAGGTATTGTTAAGTATTACATATGTGCTATTCAGTCACAGAACAGTAGGGTGTACTAGCTAGTTCTATGGCTATTGCTGTGTTTCCATCTCAGAAACCAAATGTCCATTTTCAAGGGAGAAATCTGGGTGTCTGACTCTCTGACCGTTTGACTGAATGCCAAGCAGAGGGCTCAATCTAGTGAAATAATCCAAAGTTAGAGATGGCCGCTTGTATCATCTACAAAGTTCTGGTCAGGCCCATCCCTGGGGTGGGAGGGAGGGCCCCCACTGCCTGAGGCCCTGCCTCCACTCCATCCTTTCCCCAAGGGGTTTACGAGGTGTGACGGGGGTCTAGCACGTGGCAACAGCAGGGCTCAGGCTTCCCTGCAATTATTGGGGCGGTGGGAGCCCGGGAAGGGGACTGGCGCAGCAGTGGCCTCTGCTAGTCAGGCCTGCCCCCTCCCCACCTCTGCAGTCACCGTGGTGGCGGGAAGCACAGCACCTTGGCCCCAGCCCATGGTGCTCCGCTTCCCTGAGCCCTGCTTCCCTTGGAGGAGCAGAGCAGGCCAGGCTGGTGTTCACTACTTCCTGCCACCGTGGTGAAACCCGCCTGGGAGATTGTGGCGAAGCAGCTCAGGCTCCACTTCCTGGGCTTCTGCCACTGAGATGGGTGTGGGGGAGGTGAGCCCTGCTGATGCCCTGCACCAGCCCTCTCCCCCAGGTTAATCCCCCAGGCCACCCTGGGCCCTGCATGCTCCCAAAAATATGGAGTACTGTCCCATCCATAAGTCAGTTGGGGCAGCCACCTCCTCAGCCCAGGGCCCAGGGCAGCTGCCCCAAACGAGTCCGGTGCTACTGTAATGCTTTGTAAAGGATCAGTTCTTCAAAGAGAATGAGCCAAATTCATCCCTGGTGCAACCCTGCATCATGGCTGATTTAGCCATTATGAACAATGCAGCAGTTTTCTCAACTTCCCCAACCCATTTACACTTCCAATCAGTGTCTACAAAAGTGCTTTCTTTTTCACTTACTGGAAGAGAAGTGCTGAGCACTTCTATCTGCTTAAAAGCTTTCTCATTTTTGAAAGCAGTCATGCAGTTTTGCACAAAGTGAAAATATCTTGGGCATCCCACATTCCTCCATTTAGCCTTCAGCAGCTGTTCATGTGCTTCATGTTAAATAAAACATAATTATGCTTTGCTAATGTGGAAAAAAATAAAACTCCAGGCTGTCTTCTCTGCAGTTTTATATTTAGCTGAGGA